GTAATCTGAAATTTGGCATTCATGTGTAGCCTGAAAATGTGAAGGCGGTTTTTGAAGTGTGTACCATAACTATACGAAAAGTACTGGATGGTACTAGGTTTGGTATTAGGTGTATGAATGGAAAAAAAATTCTGAAATTTGAAATTCAGATTACTGCTTGTATCTGTGTTTGAGATTTGGCGGCGATTTGGAAATTCATCCTACATTTGTCCGAAATGTACTTAATGGTACTTAAATTGGTCCTTAATTTAATTTGGTACCTGAAATTTGATAAAGATCTCTCTGTTGGTGACTGAGGTGAAGGTATGGGGGTAGTTTTGGTCTGTGTACTATAATTGTACGAAAAATACTTAAAAGTTCTAAATTTGATATTAAGTGAAGGAACAGAGCTGGAATTCCGAATCTTGAAATAAAGGTTTCTGTAGGTATTTGGGATTGAGATATAGAGGTTTTGAAAATACGTACCATATTTGTACGAAAAGTACTAAATGATACTAAATTTGGTATTGCGATAACTGTTGAATATGGAGAACTAAAATTATACAAAAAGTACTAAATGTTAATAAATTTTGTATTGCATGATCGTATTCAACTGGAATTACGAAATTTGATATTTAGGTCACCTTTGGTATTTGGCTTAGAAGTCTGAAAAGTACTAAATGCTACTAATTTTGGATCACTGTTGATGTCTAGGATGGATATGGGTACTAAAATTGGGTATTGGCTGAAGTAATAGAGATATTGATATACATACAAATTGGATGTGGGTTTGTAGTGCAATGGTTTTACTAATATCATCCTCAATAAACTTCAACATTTTTAAGATTTTAAGACTATACTTCATCCTATTCTTCTTTCCGAAAAAGAAAAAAAAAATATATATAAAACCTTTAAAGTCTGAGAATTGACTACGATATGTTAAATTTTGATTAAAAAATGATTATCAAACTGAACAAATTGTGCATTTTGAGTCCTAAGAAGACCTAACACGAACTTTTGGAACGAATCTAAAATGTGGACGAATCATTAAGTTGGACTTTGCGCCGAAGAAGTTGCTGACACTTGCTAGTCAGAGAATACTATAGGACTTTCCTACGTAATGATAATGGGACTGCACTTAGAAAAAGACTTAAAAAAAAATAAACTTCATTGCACAAAATGCAACCCACCATTACCGTTTACACTGTATGGCTACAATAATTTCCATTTAAGCTGCCGTATAAGGAAATATTTATAATAAATAAAAAATCCGAATGATATTATTTATTTATGACCTAACCTGTCAATCATTTTGATATTTTCAAGCACCACAAAACAAATAAAAACCTAAACAGGCAGCAGTAAACGATAACCAAGTGAAATATATTTGAAAAAGACAGAAAAAAACTCAAATCAAATCAAATTCAATCTGAAATGAATTGGAATTAAACAATATAACACCCTCATATTTGAAAAAAAGATTTCTTGAGTTTGGCAGCAAAATTTGTTAATAATTTGTTTTATGACTCTGACGTAGTGGATGGTGGAGAAACGGTGATGATGACGATGGCGACGATGGTGATGGGGTGTTTGATAATAACGCCGATGTCGATGTCGATAAATTTGATTGAAATGGTTAACAACCTGATCCACAGCAGCATCTTTTGTTTTAATGGCTGTTGCAATTCTTTTCAAATTGCTTATTTTTTTAAGGAATATCTATTTTTGATAATCGCTGACGGGGCGTTTTCTCTTTCCTTTGATTTCGTGTTTGTTTTTCAATAAATAATAGTCATAATGTTAATAACAATAAGCATATATTTCCGCTACTGTTCGTTTGGAGTGAGATGATGTGATGATGATGCTGATGTGAGAGTCTGTCCCACCATCCACCCATCTAAAATACTCACAATTATCGAAAATTTAGATTTTGTAATCTTTTGTTTAGAATTGATGAAATCCAATTATGGAGATGGAAACAAAGAAAAGGCATCATTTATTGTGATTTCTTCAGCATTCTATATAAGTATGTGGCACTTATTTGCAGATTTGAAATAATCACAAATTAAAGAGTCGAACCTCTTGATGGGATAAGAAAAAAAATTGAATTTTTTGATAATGACTTTCAATTGACGTATAAAAATTTTAAGAAGTGATTTTAATATCCGTCTTTTGGCATCAAATAAGATTTAATTTTTTATGAACAAATTGATGATTGTGGAATATTATTGAAGACGTTTCAGAGCTATAATCGTAAATTACTCTGTCCAGCACCACAGACATAATTACAGGAAGAATCCAGTAGATTAGGAAAGTAAAGGCAAAAATAGAAAAGATGTATATCGACGTTTTAAAAGTTTACATTGCATGAGATCCCGAAGGAATGGGCCAATATTGCCCATTTCCTATCGTACCCAAAATATGATATAAATATTTCGACAGATGTGCCAAGTCTAAATGAAATCGGATGTTAATTTGGCGATTTATGAGCTTCATGGGTACTCAAAATTTCAATATTTTGTGGGGGAGGTACTTGATGGAGTGGACCGATATTGTCCATTTTCACAACTGTTCTAGCACTGACGCAAATATTAGGATTCGCAAAGTCGGAGCAAATTCGGATTAGCCTTTCTCTTTCTGTGCAAAAAATTTGTTTTTTTTTTTTTTTTGAAAATTTCGAACTTTTGTGGGGGAGGTACCAGAAGGAGTGGGCCGATATTGTTCATCTTAACACAAGACCTTGGGTTAATATAAATATTGGGATGTGTGAAATTTGAAGACAGTCGGACTCTTACATAACATTTTAAGAGAGTTGTAATTATTCAAAATTTTGACCATTTGTGGGGGAGGTACTTGATGGAGTGGACCGATATTGTCCATTTCCACAACTGCCCTAGCACTGACGCAAATATTAGGATTTGCAAAGTTGGAGCAAATTCGGATTAGCCTTTCTCTTTCTGTGCAAAAAATATATTTTTTGAACATTTCGACCTTTTGTGGGGGAGGTACCAGAAGGAGTGGACCGATATTGTTCATTTTAACACCAGACCTTGGGTTAATATAAATATTGGGATGTGTGAAATTTGAAGACAATCGGACTCTTACATCACATTTTATGAGAGTCGTAATTATTCAACATTTTGACCATTTGTGGGGGAGGTACTTGATGGAGTGGACCGATATTGCCCATTTTCACACCTGAACTAGTACTGACGCAAATATTAGGATTTGCAAAGTTGGAGCAAATTCGGATTATCCTTTCTCTTCCTGTGCAAAAAAATATATTTTTTTGAAAATTTCGACCTTTTGTGGGGGAGGTACCAGAAGGAATGGACCGATATTGCCCATCTCCGAACTCGACCTAAGTTTGACAAAAATATTACGTTGTAGCCAATTTGGACCAAATCGGATACTCCCTTCAAGAGTTATCGTGCGCACCAGCCAGACAGACAGACAGACAGACGGACGGACGGGCGGACGGACATCGCTAGAGCGACTCCAAATGTTCTGAAACGGATTTGGTCAAAAGAGACCTAGGGTCTAAAACCCTTATTTCGACTAGGCACGTTTTGGCCGTATCAAATGATATATACCCTCTGTAGCCAAATGGCTGAGGGTATAATTAGTACCATTTTAATTTTCGAAGAATTATAGTACGAATTAGTAAAGTTTGAATTGCAGATACCAATAGAGCCCCCAACGGAAAATTTAGTACCATTCAGTACTTTTTGTACAATTATAGTGCACATTTCCGAAACCACCTACATATATCCAGGCAACAAATAAACAGCGAACTAATTATCAAATTTCATGATCTCAGCTCTTTAATTTTCCCGTTACCAAATTTAGGACCATTTAGTACATTTATATCACCTATCAGCTCCTTTTCTCAACCACAGGCAGCAACAGTGACATATATATCGAATTTCAGGATTCTAGCTCTTTTCTTTCAACCAATAGCCAATTTAGTACCATGTAGTACTTTTCATACAATTAATGTACACATTTCCAATACCACCTCAATATAAAATTTCGGGATTTCAGCTCTGTTCCTTCACCCAATACCAAACTTAGTGCCATTTAGTACTTTTCGTACATTTTATAGTACACATTTCCAATTACTCGAAGCAAAGCCAAATTTAATACCATTTCTGAAACCTCCTCCATATGTCCAGACTAAACACAAACAGCGACCCTAAACCAAATTTCAGATTTAAAACCCTACCTATGCACCCAATACCAAATTGTTCCAAATATTGTACTATTTGGTATTTTTTGTGCTGTTGTTGTACATATTTCCAAATCCACATCTTTAGTACCAACAGGGACCCCAATAAAAAATTTCAAAATTTCACACCATTAATTTACCCTAAACCAGACTGTTCCAAATTTGGTACCATGTAGTACATTTCGCACACTTAGTACACATTTCCCAAAAAACAACCGACATGTATCAAACTTACTTTGTCATACCAAATATCATGTTTTTAGCTCTATCCGTTCACATAAAACCAAATAGAACAATTTAAGAAGTTCAGTACAATTTTAGAACTTTTCGTAACCTCATAGTTCGAATTTCCATAAACTCTATCCTGTACCTCAACAATGATTCTCATTCCAAATTTCAAAAAATCTACCTCATTCCGTTTGTCCAACACAAAGTATTCAATTTTTAGTACTTTTTGTACCCTTTTACTATGAAATTCCATAAACCCAGCCTACGCACCAAGACTGACCCTCATGCAAAATTTCCAGATTGTAGCTTCAGCCCTTTCGTCTGGGCGTTAATTCTCAGTCGGTCAGTTATTTCACTACTCTTGCATATGTATGGATTTATACGAAGTCATAAAAACTACGTTCTTCGAAAATCTATTTTGAATCTTTTACCAATAAATGAAACATTTTAACGATTTTTCCCAAGAAAACTGAAAATTGCCAGCCGAGAGAAAACTTTTGTTAGACTGTGTATCTATTTATCTATTGACGTTTTATAATTATTGACCACTTCGCTTTTCACTTACCTTTACTGCCATTTGAAAATGTAATCCAATTTTGTAATTGAACAGCTAGCTCCAAACAATATTCAAGCCATGAATTCTGAATGGGTGAATAACCAAACTAGGCGGGAAACAGAGAGAGAGGGAGACAGAGATTTGAAATTAAAACACACATAACACGTTTCGGTTTACTTTTTCAAAAAAATATTTAACTCTCAATTGCACACATTAAGAAATTATTATGATTTTTTCAATTTGAATTATAATAAAATATTTTTATTTTTTCAAAGGGAAAACATTTTTTGACACTTTTTCCAAATTTATCAGCATGCATTGATGATTTACAGCATAAGGCTTAAAAAAGAACTAGTATTTAACTAAAAATTAAAAGAATTAAAAATAAAAACACTAAAAACCGAAGACTTTCAAGCACTTGTCGTCGTGTTTGTTTATTTCATTAGAAATCAAATATCAAACGACACAATACACACAGAACAAACGTAGAGTACTGTTAATGGGAGAGAGAGAGTGTGTGTGTTGGAGAATAGAGCATATGGGAGTAGAACACAACAACAATACAACATGGAGCAACAGGTGTAGCAGTGTAGGTGCCATAAATTGCTGTTGTTTTCTTTTCACATTATAATTTGTGGTGTTTTGCTATGATTTGATTTTACTTTGTTGTTTTTTTTTTTTAATTTCCTCTCTCTCTCTCCGTATGTAGCTCTTGAACACTCTAAACCCGATCAAATACTTGACACATAATGAGAGTAGTGCCAAAACTGGTAGCAATTATAGATCATGACTTTTCAAAGCCATTTAATTGAATTGTAAAAAAACAATCGTCTTAAATTATTTTCTAAAGAAATTTCTACAAATTCTCCGGGCAAATTGGGTGATATCTTGAAAAAAAAAACAACAATTTGGATTTTAGTGAAATTAGATGTAAACAATTTCAAGATTTTTTAAATTTTATTTCTTTCGTATTGTTATTATTTTTAAGGTAGATTTTTGTTGTTGTTTTTATTTCTCTTTAACAATCACACAGTGTTTTTTTTAATTTTTCTCACTACCATTTGAAATTGAATTTGAATTCACAGAAAAAACCTATGTTAGTCATGTTTTCATTTTCTTTTTTCCATTGCAACAACTTTATGGCAATTTTTGTGTACTTGTTTTATTTTTATGTTTCACTACACATTACTACACGGCTTTTCATGCATACATTTTCTTTTGAAATTTTCTTTGGCCTAACAGCTATTTTCTTGTTAGACGTTGTTGCATAGAAAACTTTTTTTTTATTAAAAACACTTTTCAATGTATTTGAAAATTTTGTTCACAATATGCATTGGTGTGTGTGATTGTATTTGTTTTTTACTCTTTGATTTATTTTTCTTTATTTATTTCGTTTTGTTTTTAATATGGTGCCGTTGGAGGTGGAGTAGGAGAGGGAGTGTATTAAAGCATTGCATTTGTTGCTGCGTTTGAACCTACACATGTTTCCAAACACCCGTCTCGTAGCCGTCTTTTTCTTCTACTTCGTTGTCGTTCGTTTTTCACTTCTTGTTTTTTTTTTGTTTTCTTATTAACAACGGTCACAAAACACGAAGCACACAATCTGTTTCTTCCGCTAAGTGTGGCTTTAAACTGTAAGAGTTACGAATAAACTGAATTCAAGTTGGAAACTTTGCTACCAGCCAAGTTGCTGGCCGTGCCGTTTGATCTGTGTTGACGGTTATGAGAACTTTGCTAAAGCTTTTTGCCTTTTTGCTTCTTTGATACGTTGATGGGTGAATTCGCTAAACAAAAAAGGTTGTTTGTCTTCATTTTAGAAAAAGACATCATGAGTGCCATCTAGTGAGAACTAGTCTGAATTTATGTAGTTAATTAAAACCACAAAAACTTGGATACCAGAGGGCGTTCTATATAAATGTGTTAAAGTGAACATCAACACCCTCACTGGTTCTTTTCTTTCTGGAACTATTTAATTATTAATCGCAATGGGTCAGAAAGTATTCGAGTGGAATGACTACTTACCCGTCGGGTAACACGCCCACAAACAAGCAATTATATTTAAGAGATTTTTGCTCAATCATTGATTGGATGGTGAAGTTTTAGAAAATTAAAATGGGCTAAAAAGTACTAAGCAATGCCTGGTTTTGGGGAACCGAAAGTACTTGAAGTTAACTAAAGGTGAAAATACATAAAACGCTTTTTTGACTGGCTTAAGTCATCGGCTGGCTGCTTCGAAAATGAACAAAGGAGCGTGGGGCCATAATCGAACTAAGTCAACCTAAAACCCATTGTTCCTCTGCGAAGAAGCCAGCTGATAACTTAAGCAAGTCAAAACAGGGTTTTATGTATTCTCAACCTTAGATCTTTACAGGGTGAGGTAAAAAAACTGAAACAAAGTCAAACACCATAATTTTTACATTTTTTTTAATTTTAATGAATGAAAGCAAAAAATTTCGGAAATAGCATTAAATTTTAAAATAAGTTTAGATAAGTTTTGGCACGAATTGTGGCCTTCAAACGGCCAATGAAACCGTCACACGCTGCCCGAATATTGCTGCCCAAGGCTTTGATACACCCTCCAGAATATTTTCGCGGCATTTATTCGAGTGCCACGGTCGATTAATACAAGTGGAGAGCGAGTCATTTTCTGTAAACCAAATATTCCTATTTAAAATTGAATTCCATTGACGTTTTCAATTGCATTTACTACTACAACTTCAATATTTTCGCTCAGGTTTTTTGTTGTATAAGCATGTCTGTCACAATTGTATCTTTTAACAGCACATGATGGTCTCACTAATTCCAGTGAAAATTCTTGAAATTCATACATGACTGTCGGTTTTTTAAACCATATATTTCGATTCCGGGCCTTTAGTAGCGTGTCGATTGTGAATCGACAACAAGCTGCCGAACCCTCTTTTTCCAGATATGACCCTGCGCCACTAAGAAGAAAAATATATATTTCAAAACTATAAAATCTTTAACGGCTGCTTTGTTGGGAGAATGTTCTAGAACCCTTGTCAATCTTATAGAGCCCTATAGAAAATTTTCAATCTTCTAGGGCCCTTTTAACAATTGCTGTTTTTGCTTTGATTTTTACTTTTATCCCACATTTCCGCTTTGTTTCTCTTCTTCACTATTTTCTTATTGGCTCTTTGTTCGGCATTCTTGTGTGAGCTTGCGGTTCGGTACACTTGTTTTTCTTGAAAACCTTAATTTTACGCATTTTCTTTGCATTTTTTAATTAAAAATAGTGCGGCTATTGTCGAAAAAACAGTGGAGGTGCTAATCTAATAAAATAAATGCTACTTTACAAACAATTTAATAAAAAAACCTCATTCAAACAAGCATTTTATGTGTACTCTCAAAATATGATTTTCTTTTCATTGGCCCAGAAAAGAAGAGAAGGAAAAATAATTATTGAGTAGAGGAGACTGGCTGACTGCTGCGTAGGAAGTGCATGGAAAAACTTCTCGGTACAACAAAAACGAAGAGTTCATAAAAACAGACTACATAAAAGTGTTTATTTAGTGTGTGGTGTGGTGGAGTTGGTGCTCTTTCACAATTCCTGGGTGAAAGAAACAAAAAATAGAAAATGAATTGAATTGGAAGCATTTTAAGCAGAATATAAACAACTTTTAATGTCTGCTGAATGGTAAAATAAACAAAAAAATATGCATTACAAAGTCGAATGGTTGAAAAGTGGAAGGAGGGCAGAAGAAAATCCCAGCAATGAATGCAATCCAACTAAATGAGCGAACATTAAACTACAGCAAAAACAAAGAAACAGTACAACAACAAAAACAAACATCAAGTTCCATTCAATTCCCGAGAACGGTGTGTGTTGTGTGGTGCGTGCATTTGCTTGCTTTTTGTGAAGAAACCCAATGATGTGATGAGAAAAACAGGACCAGTTTATGTGCTTCGATGCTGCTGTTGTTGTTGTCGTTGTTCTTGTAAAGAAAAGTAGAAGAAGAAAAATAAATTGGAAAACGGGAGCAAGTAGTCGGCCTGCAAACAGCGGACAACAACGCATGATGGCAGTGTTGTTCATGTAAAGTACAAAAAGCACTTGAAGACGAAAAACAACAACAAAAATACCAAGGAACAGTCGAAGTTCTAAAATTAAAAATTTCCGTAATTATTTCTTCTGTTTTTGCTTCAATTGTGGTCACTGCAACAGTAGGCAGCAATAAAATGAAAAACGCTCACAAAGAAATTGAATTATTTCGCTCATAATCAATGAAGGGTGTTGGTGGTGGACTGGATTGCAGATGTAAAAGTGTAATTTACCTGTTTTTATCCTTACAAATACAACATAAATCCTAACCGAGAAGGATTATGACAAAATTACCTGGAAAGGATTTTCTTACAAAGTGTTATTGAAAATTTTCCCAGAGAGCCGATTACAATTTAATTTTCATTTCCCCTGTTATTCCTACTTTGCATACCGCAGACAAAGGAACCACACAGCCGACGAACGAAAATAAAAACTAGCAATTGAAACTTGCGATTAATTGCGCGTAGTGATTTATTTAAATGTGTGTAAAAGTGAAATTGTTAGGGGAGAAAAGCCCGAGTAAAAATGTCAAATGACACATTAAAGGACTTTTGAACTTTGGTGTAAAAGGCTATAAACAGACAGCCAGAGTGTGTGAAGTGTGTTATATAGTGGAGAGTGCTGTAGAGTGGCAATTAAATAATTGTCAAATAGTTTAAACTACACAAATAAATATAAAAAATATTTTTCACATAAATAAAAAGTTGAAAATTATAAAAAAAGTTCTTAAAACACTTTTTTTCCATAAAGGGCTGTTGTGCTGAGAAAGAAGAAGAAGAAGGAGGAGGTTTCTTTTGCAAATTTTCTGCTACTTTTCTAATACAACTCTGCACATTGACATAACACACTGAACATACTCCACACAACAAAAGGCAACAACGTAACAAAGAAGAAGAATTTGTAAACAGGCCCGGCCGGCTGGGCAATTGTTTTCATTTATTTGCTGTGTAATTATTATAAATTAATAAAATAAATAAAATTGTTATTATTATTTTCGCAGGAAATGTGCATGGATAAACATTAAAACAAATCTACAAAGAATTCTTTTTAAAGAAAAACAACAAAACAAAAAGTGTCCCTTATATTTTCGTGTTCTCTCTCTATCTCTCTTGCTCTGTGAATTCAGTGTGTGAGAACGTGTGTTGGTTCTCTTTCCGTGTTTGCTGGCGCACTCGGTTGCCGGAGAGAGCGCGTTTGTGTATATGTATCAGGTAAATCATCAACACAAAACAACCGGGGACTTTGAAAAATTCTCCAACATGTCGAATTCATTTCGTTATCTAACCTCAACGGATACAGACCAGCAGCAGCAGCAAGAAGAACATACACACCGAAATCAACAGCAACAGCCGCCGCAAACATGTATTTCCAGTGTTGGTGGCACAGAAGACACAAAATCCAATGCGGATACCAACAAAAGCCTCCATAATGTTCCTGATGCCATCAATAGTGACCAACACGACAACACAAGCAATAATCAACATCATGCAGCGATGGAAGATGAGTCAGGCACAATGGCGACGACGGAAAATTCAGACACATTTAATCAAAATGAAAACTCACTAACTGGGGCCTTGGAGCGGGATGGCATGGTTACCGGCAATCATCAGCAAATGAGTCCGGGCCTAAGTTTATTACAAGCGGCGGCTGCATCATCGCCACCTCCTCACAGTTACCGGCATTCGCGTGCCTACAGACATTTTAAGAATCCCCCACAGCCCCATATGTGTATACGTACCACAACCGAGGCCGGTGAGGAGTTATTCATCAATGTGCTGAGTTGGACGCGTATTGTTATACCTCAGGAACCCAGTGATCCCATACCATTGTATGGCGGCATGAGGGTAAGTTAAATTTATTTTCCTATTAAATAGTTTCTAAACTTTGCCTTGGAAATTATGTCTAATGTCTGTATTTGTGTATATTTTTTGTATTGTTTCAAGGTACCACCTGGCAGTCCCCGTAGTCCTCCCATTGTATTTGCTGTTATGGCCAATCCAGAAGTATTAAAAGATTCCGGCCGCCATAGCAAAGACCCCGAAGAAAGACGTGCCATGGTTGAGTTAATGTGTGATTTTGTTGAGGCCATGAATCCTGGTGTTAAATTAGTAAGGTAAGTACGAATTGGTACTGTACAAAACAAGGATGCTATCCTTTGTGTATATACCTACATGAAAGACAACGCCCTGTAACAAAATCCTTCCCACACACACACACAAATGCATACATATTACCATCCTTGCAAAAAAATATATACTTGGAATTTTTTCCATAGCTGTCCGGTTTTCTTGAACCCTTATCAAACGTAAATTGATGTGACATATTTTATTTTCCCGACATATGACTGTGCGACATCAAAGATATATTGTTGATTATTAATGAAGATGAAAGGTTTTATATGTGTTTAACCTACGGTTTTTTACTGGCAAAGTACATGAAGCGTGCAACGTCGCCATTTAATGCATATCTCATACCATTGGTTTTGTGGAGCGAAAATCAACCACCATTATGCCTTGGTGTCCCTGGCAGAAAATGGAATGGGTTTAAATTTTCTAAAATGCAAAAGACATTAACAGGTTTTAAGATTTCATATATTTCTTTTTTAAAGTGCAAAGGCACTTTTGCAAATTAATTTTTTCCGACTACTTTTTTTCATGGGTTTTTATACGACCAGTTTTAATTTTTTTTGCATTATCAGCAGGGGTTATTTGTAGGAATGTTTTATGTGTGTATATAATAGTCACCCATTCCACACGTAACTTGGAGTTTGCTCAACCAAAACCCACTTGGCTTTGTATTTCCGTATACACACAAGCTGGCAAAAAGGGAAAGCATCCAAAATATATTAGAAGTAATGAATAAAAATATTAATTTTGCTTGAACAATAATAATTCAGGCCAGAAAGACAATATTAAAAATCTTGTCATCTATCAGATGATTTGTAATTTTTCAAACAACACAAAATTTGCAAGCAAGGAAAATAGAGATGGTAGGTGCGGGATTTGAATATTGCAAAAGTTTAGGGAAATGGTATTTGAGTTTTATAGAGAAAAAACGGACTTGAATTTCCTTCGGCCCACTCCGCAAAACTCCCATAACATTCCTGATATATTGGGTACTGTGACTCGGGTACAAATTCCATGTTAGAAAAGATTCTACAGATCCGGTTTCGGTAACGTTTGAAAGTGATTTTTCAAGAGATAAAGTATTTATAGTTTCATGCAAGTCAAGATGTAAAACGCTGTTCGAGTTGAATGTGCTGGTAAAGGGGAACAAATTCCATGTTAGAAAAGATTCTACAGATCCGGTTTCGGTAACGTTTGAAAGTGATTTTTCAAGAGATAAAGTATTTATAGTTTCATGCAAGTCAAGATGTAAAACGCTGTTCGAGTTGAATGTGCTGGTCAAGGGGAACATAATTTCAACCACTAACTACCCGAAAATCCTTGGGTTCACATTCGACAGCAGGTTCAAGTCGACTGCGCATGCCACAGCTATCTGCGATAAATTGAAAAGTAGGAACAAAGTCCTCAAGGCGCTAGGCGACAGCATTTGGGTGCGGATGACCTCTTATAAGACGACCTATTTAACAAGGTCTGTGGTTAGCTATACGGTTCTATTGTGGTCTGCGAATAAGAGTGTAACGAAATGGAAAATTATTCAGACCTGCCGGAATGCCGCCCTGAAAACTGCAATAGATTGCGTCCTCATGACTTCTGTGGACCACTTGCATGAAGAAACGAAAGATATTCTCTTACGTTAGCATAATCATATGCTTTTTTGCAGAACCTGCTTGGGTGCCACCGTGTGAGTTATCCTTACCATTATATGTCGAACAGAAATCTTACACCCAGGTGTGACAGAAAGAAAATATTCTCAATTTGCAAAAATTGATTATTATTTAAGCAGGTCAGGTGGAATGGCGAACAAAGTGGTTTTAAATTGAATACTCCTAGGTAGCACACAGGTATGAGTTTTTCTGGCTCTCATAATGTCTCCTTATACAAAATTCCCCTTACCAGACAATATAAAAAAATCTAAACCATAATCTTTCCAACGTCATCCCATAAAGCCGTGTATAAATAAATGAAATTATTAATTATTTTTATTACCTCCACCTTGGAAAAGAGGGTATATTATCTTTGTCGTTCGGTTTATAACATCCCTAAATATTCGTCGTAGACCCCATAAAGTCGATTTAACGATGTCCGTCTGTCTAACATTTGAAATCATGACACAGCCCACATTATTTGACGTAGCGCGTCAAAATTCACCAGAACAATATGTATTGTGTCTAGGATAGTTGGTACTAAAAATAAGATATATAGGTCCACGTTTTGGTATAGTCCTCATATAACGGTACCTGTCAATATTCGGTGTTTTGATGATTTTTGCCACATTTTTTAACGGATTTGTCCAGAAATTGGTATTTGTAGTTCGTAATGGGTTCTTCCTCGTGCGCATTTGTAGGGTATAATGGAAACATTGTATGTATATTTTCACGTTTTGGTATAGCACCATATGACGGTAACTTTCAATATTCCGTATTTTGATGATTTTTGCCACATTTTTCGCGGTTTGGTCTAAAAATTTGTATTTGTGGATCATACTGGTTTCTAGTTCCGGAAGCGAAACATTGTATGTATAGGACCACATTTTGGTATTGCCACCATGTAACGGTACCTCCCGATATTCGGAATATTGGTGATTTTTGTCACATTTTTTCACGGATTTGTCTAAAAATTGGCATTTGTGGGACATAATGGTTTCTAGTTCGGGTAGTGAAACGTTATATGTAAAGGTCCACATTTTGGTATTGCCCCCATGTAACGGTACCTCCCGATATTCGGGATATTGGTCTGGTGTAAAGAGAAACACGCTTTAATTCAGATACTTTTATATAAAAATGTTTCATTTACCCTAAGGTGAAGGGCATTAAAAGTTCGACTCTTGAAATTTTGTAGAAATTAGGATAGTTGCCCTTAAAGGACATTTAATCTCTAGAAATGAATTTTGTATCCGATCTACAGCATTTGCTTTGATTGACATTTTTTATAGTTGTAGTAAAAAAAACTCATAACGATCGAAATTAAGGTTTTGTAAAAACAAAAAATTGGCTCATTTATTTCTTGCGAGAAGACGAAAATGATTCTTATGGTGAAACAAATTCAGTTCAGAACATTTTTTAAAGAAAATATGTTGCAAGGAAAACATTGTTCTTGAGAACTAATAAATAAATTGCCAATTGTTGATGAACAAAAAGTGAAATGTTTGAAAATTTATCGTGCGCAACACTGTATGAAAAAAGTTATGCGATATCATTTCTATGTTGTCTGGTATGTGAAGAAAAACATTGGATCCGCTTTATTTTCTCATGGGTTATTTTCTATTTTTTTTTTTGCTATTTTTCTGTCACTGGTTCTGGTAGTCATTCAATTGAAAATAAAATAATTGACTCATCCCATCCCCAGCCATTCGGTATGATCTTTAACATTTGTATCGTTTCTTATCTAAAATGAGAAGAAAAAGTACGCAGATACGCATATATGTATCTGTATATATGCTCAAATTACACACAGACATTGGCGCATTCTTTTGGCTTGGAACGGCTCATGTGTGTTAAGCAATGTAGACGTCGGATGACTACCATCCATTTGAACACTTGCCATCGAAAAACACTTTAATTGAAGTGAAAAGAAAATCGTATTCAATTATATGTAGTCTCTAAGTATTTCTGCCGCCTGCCAACATATATATTTATGGGAATAGGAATAGACCATGGCGGCGGTATGGCTTGATGACAATTCAGTGTGTGTGTCAACACATTTCTCGGGTTTGCTATTTTGTTCTTCAAGCATGACATTATTGAACCGACGACATTCCACTGTCGCACGTATGCGTTAATATTAGCCAAACAACAGTTGATGCCGGGTGATTGCCTTGCTTTTCGTTGTGCTAAAGAATTTTTCGTTTAAACTGTTAGACCCCGTAGCAATAAGTTCAAATACTAAAAGTGATATATATTTTAGATCGGTGAGAATGTAATTTTTAATGATCACGCCAGGACTCGAATAAAATTAAATGGATGACCATAACTTCCACAGGCCTGTGTGTTTTTTTTTTTTTTTTTTTTTTGAAAGTCGTAGATGAGTTAAATGAATTGAGTTCCGTTACTCTGCCCTTCCATTTACCTAAACTATTCGATTACCAGAGCAATATTAAGAGTAGTCCATTCAAATCTGGATGGATACTTGGAGCGTTGTAGTCAATTGAAGCTTTTGGCCAGTTGAAGGATGGTTGACGGCGTCACATTCGCTGCTGTAAAAGATCACATTTTTCTTCGTCCGCACACAGCCTCCAGTAGTCAGTATCAGTTTTCTATTTGTCGTCTTGGACCATATATTCATTATTGCAACATATTACATCATCAGATACAAAGAATAAGGTAGGAAAGACTTTGGTTTCGGAGAGACACTAATCCTCATCAGTTTCTTGTTTTTTTTCTGAGGGTTATACTCACCAGAAGTTATTAAAAAAACAGCTCCTATGAAAAAAACTTTTTTATATTCCCTTTGTCTAAAATTCCATCCCTTGCACATTTCACCTCATCTTTATAATAATAATAGAAATAATCTTAAAAAATCTAATTTTGAAAAAAACCTTTTTTAAAATAAATGTTGGCCCTCCAATGGTCTATGAAAAACATGTCTACATTTGAAACTTCAATATTCATTGAAGAAATATTCCTCAAAAGATTTGCATTCAACTTCCAATGTCCCTTGAAAAAAATTTAATATCTTGTTTTTGACTCCTAGACCTTTGGAAAACAATATTTTAAGAAATCAAAATTTTGGGCCTCCAATTGACCATCAAAGAATATATTTTGTATAGTTTTATATAGTTCTTGTAAAAAAAAAAATAAATAGTTTGAAAAAGAATCTTTGAAATATCCACGTTTGGACCTTGAAAAAATTCACCTTCACCGCAGTATGGAGTTTATCATTCCGTTTGTAGCACCTCGAAATGTACATTTTACACCCCACAATGTATATATTGTCAACTATCAAAATGAGTTTATGAGTCAGTCGTCGTTGAGCATTGACCGAGAGCGGA